ATCTCTCACTCACTGAAGAGATATAATAAACATAAAAAAGAATTATGAGTCTCTTACCTGCAAGATGAAAAATTTACACATGTGATAAAAAACTTCTGCATTCTGAGGGTTTCTTTCAAATGCAGTGAGCCACACTGCTCTGGCTTTGTCATGTTGATCTGTTTGCAAATATAAAGCAACAAGGACTTCCAACAACTGGCAGTTCATGGGACATGACTCCAATAAGTGTTTACAAAGCTCCACTGCAGCCTCAAACCTTAAAAAGAAAAGAGAGATTGCTAAACAATGAAAAGATCAATTTTTAACACAATGTCAGATACTTATCAATTAAGTTTTTACCTCTCCAGGAGCTGGTGCAGGGCAATCATGTTTGTGTAAAGTGGAAGGCAGACCTCTATCCTTTCCTCAACAGTATGGCTCTCATCTGAGCAAGCTTTCACAGCATCTATCCAAAAACATAACAGAGTGAATCAAAAGTAAAATGAATAACTGATTTGTGTTATCTCAACTCTAAGAGACCAATGAGAAGATGAATCTATCCCTTTGCGTGCCCAGTCTTACTAATCTTTACTGAATTTTCTGGCTTTTATCCAAAAGAAGTATTTGAGGTATCTTCAAACTCCTAAAATGCAATCTCTTCACTTTTCCTGGTAAGAATAAACCATTAAATATAAGTTCTTACTTCTATTATTGTTTTCACTTAGACCAGTGTCTCTGCAATTATTCCACATCTAAATTCCTTAAAACTCATCTTAAGGGGGGAAAAAAATCACAAAATAAATTATCTTTTCATTTTTTTCCATAACCATTTCAAATGAGATCTTGTTCTGCTATTCAACAGCCATTTAAATGTTTCCTCTTAAACTAGGTCTTTTCCTTATTCCTTCGAAACACACTTTTCCCCTTGTAAAGAGTCTTTTACGGGACCATCAGATGGCATAATGGTTATGTCACTCAACTCCCTCATCGTCAACTGCAGTTCAAGTCCCAGACCTGGCAGCTTGAAACTCACGCCAAGCATGTGTGTATGTGTGCATGTGTGCCCAAAGTCCCAAGAGGAGAGTGGAGGAGAAGGGATTGCAACAGGGCCATCACCCCTGTGAGGGTGGCTTCTCGCTTTTTGTCCTTCTGCTGAGCTCACGGACCCTATAGCAAAAATCTCTCTTTAAAAGAAAGAAATAAAGAAAGGAAGGAAGGAAGGAAGAAAAGAACAGTCTTTTACTTGACCTTGCTGCGTCTTATACAATAATATGTTTTACTTTGCACGACTGTCATCACTTCTGCCATGCTTGCTTGATAGCAAGCCTTCCCAGATTTGCAGTTTAAAAGTCAATGTTGGAGGACAAGCAGGTGGGGTGTGGTGGTTAATGTGCTGGACACTCCCACATGACCCTCCACAGTTCTAGTCTCAGAGCTGGTGGCTTACTTTCTTTTCTCTCTCTTTCTCTCTCTCTCTCTCTCTCTGGTCAAATGAAAATAAATGAATGCATAAAAATTAAATAAGTAATTCCTTTTTTAAAAAAAAAGTCAATGTTGGGACCAGCAGATGGCATAATCATTATGTTGCTGAACCCCTACACAGTCAATTGTGGTTTGACTGCCAGACCCAGCAGCTTAAAACTCACACTAGGCACATGTGTATGCGTGCCTGAAATCCTGAGAGGAGAAGGGAGTGCCATATGGCCATCCCCCCAGGGTAGTGAATTCTCACTTTCTGTCTTTCTGTGTGTGTCTCCAGCAAGCGCACACACCCTATAGCAAAAACCTCTCTTAAAAAAAAAAAAAAAAGTATTCAATGTCAGGCTAGCTTT